GTGCCAGCTTGCCCCCACGGGCCATTGGCAGCTCTCTCTCTCTTTACTTTGGACCTGGAGGCCGTGACTCTTAAGAGAGAAGGGTGGATGGAGAGCCAGGGAGGAATGCCTTGAACCCACATGGGGTATGAAGTGTTATGTCTGTGGTCCCATCCCCTCTGTGCTTATCGCCCCCAGGGATGGATGTAGCCCATGGTGTCCCCATTCTCGCGTGCACCAAGCTACAGGGATGGAGAGGTGACCCTTTGGTGCCAAAACTGCCTCTGCCAGGGTGTGCGCTGAGCTCAGCGCAGGGTTTTGATAAGCCTTTTTCCAGCTGGAGCTCGTTAGTTGTGCTGAGTCAGTGGCAGTGGCTCAGATTTCCTGGCTGCCCCGGTCACTGCAGTCCTGCAAGGTCAGTCACTGCAGTCCCACCAGGTGGGACACCGGTGGTTCACCTCCGTGCCTGGCCCTGGCATACCAGGGCATGAACCTGATCTTCCTGTGATGATGGTTCCTCATTTTTCCTTCCCACAGCCTGGCTGTATCTTCTTCCAAAGGAAGAAGGACACAGAGGCAGTCAGGTCGCAGGGCTGCTTGTTTTCTCCATGGTCTGGCTCCTCAGCCTGGCTTTTCTGCTGGCTTTGTGTGGCCACAGGCAGCTCCATCAGCAGCCCTGTGCCCCGGCTGCCCAACCACCAGCCAAAATGAGTAATGCCCTCCCCTCTGGAGCAGGACGCCGAGGCTGGGTGAGCTCAGGCATGCCGAGAAGCCTGGCTTAGTCATCTGAGTGCTCCCAAGACTTTGTTTTGGTGTTTTGCTACTCCAGCTGTCTGTGAATCCCCTAGCAAATGAGTTTGCTGGCAGGGTGCTTCAAGGGAAAGACAAATTTTGAAAAATTGCATTCACATAAAAGAAATGCCTTATTTTCAATTGGAAATCTTGATTCTCTGGATTAGTGCCCACCCAACCGGAGAGAAGCATATGCTGGTGTATCAACAAAACAAACAGGGCACTGAATATTCAAGGCAAACCTTACACACTGGAAATGCTTCATAGAAATTATCCAGTATATCATTTACAATGGCAAATCTCATCCATTCACTGTCAATTCACTGCCACTGCAAAGAGGAGAAAGAAGGATTGCTTTTCTCTAGTATTCTGCATGTTTTCTCACCCTATTTCACCCTCTTTCCTCCAAGTAAGACCTAGATTAGGTAGACCATATATTGTGATTTCTGCCTCTATATTACTGCTTTGTTTTGCCAACTGATACCCTGCCCACTCCTGTGTTTCTTGACTTGCCCGTTGCTGTCACTTCTCTAGGACAGTGACTGCTCCAAGGGATACCTGTCTGTGGTTGGCGCCTGGAGGCACTGTCTCATACACAGCTAACGGGAAGCTCTCCCAACACTTTCTGGAGATGAAGGCACCCAGCCAGCTCTGTTATTCACAAGAATATTTCCTCCTCCTGCCATTAACAATTGGGAAAAGCACAATGACAGTGGTACAGCTGGGAAGAGGATCTGGTCTGGTGATGCTGTGGGGTTCATTTGGACCTTTGAGATACGATTGCAGTGCTATCACCAGAGTATGGCAAAATGCTGAATTATCATATAAGTTTGGTCTGAAAATTTAGCTTGGGTGTTTTAACCTAACACTGTTTGACCTACAGTGTCCATGTGATCTCTCGCTCTGTGTACTGAGTAAGGCATCTCCTATAGTTGGAGGGAGGCTGAACATGTCCTACAGATCTGAGTTCAAGCTGTTCCTGGAGCACATGAGCAGAAATCTCCTCTCCCCATTTCTGCTGCATGTGCTGTTCCTAGAACATTTACATGATTTACTTTTAGCTGGTTGTTCCCAATGGTTATTTTAATGGTAACACTGCAGCTATATAATTTGCATAAGCTTTTCTAAGAGCAGCACCATAAAAGGTGAGATTAGCTGGAACGAATGGTCTAGAAAAGTACCAGTTTGGGTATTTGAAGGTGGGTTTCCATGGGTATCTGGGGGGGAAGGGACCAGGGAAAAGGCAGGAGGATGAGCTTAAGATCAGCTTCACAGGAGCTGTGACACGCTGCAAGGGCTGTGTTACAGGACTGAGCAAGAGATGATGGCTCCTTCAGGCAGTGGAGTTGGAGACACCTAAGAGAGAGAGGGCAGAGCTGACTCTTCTGCTCCTGAAATTTCTGTGTGCAGTGCTGGGTGGAGAGACAGGAACCAGATTAGCTGGGTGGGTGAAGGCTTGTGTTTGGGATGTTTGTGGACAGGAGACCTTGGAGCACCATCTCCGGGAGGAACCCATTGCTTTTTGCGACCAGGAGCCATATAACTGCTACTGGGGGAAGGGAGCAGCAACAAGGACTTGATAGGGAAAGACAACCCATACTGATCTCCGTGACAATCACCCTCACCCTGCCATCCTGCAGCAGGATGTTCCTCCTACAAGCAGTGCCTAGAACACCGTGCCTAGAAACAAGCTGCAGGATCTTATCACTGGGAAGTGGAGTGGTGGAGGCAGAGAATGGACTCGGATGTTGCTAAGAGTCTCCTTATTTATTTGCTGAAGGTCCAACAGCTCCCTCGGTCAGAGACACGCTCTCCTTGTTAACAAAAAAGGCAGTGAATTATTTAGCAGTTGAAAATGCCAGATGGCGATGGCTTTATTGCTTACAGGAGGAGGGGAGGGAGGGAGATATGCACATGGGGAGAACAGATTGAGAGCATCTCCGTAGGAAAGGGCTGACCCCAGCCAGAGGCCCCGGTGGTTTCACAGCCGCCTGATGGTGAGCAGGAGGCAGGCAGGCTGGGGCAAATGGCCGCTGCTTGTCACAGTGACCCACTCGTTTCCCATGGGTCTCCCCTTGTTGGAGTTCCCTCTTCAGGGGCTGTTATTCCAACAGGGCCATGCTAGGCCTCAAAGTACAGGGCTCCCAACCCCAGCTGGGAGGCAGGCCATGACTGAGGGATCTCTCTGTTTAATTTGGAAACTGCAGGCACCAAGACTAGTTCTTGAGCTCTTTGACCCTCTAAAGAGCTTGGGTTGAGAATCCCTTGGGAATCCCTGGTGTCCACCCTGATTGCATTTGTCAGGCTGTCAGAGCCTTTTTTTTTTCCTTTTTTTTTTTTTTGGTCAGCTCTGTGTTTGAAAGCCTCCCCCTTCTCAGTCTTTCCTTTCCCCAGATGAGGATGCCAAAGAGAATCAGTGTCTCAGGTAAATAATCTGTCAGCTCCTGCCCCAGCATCCCCGTATGTGAGAAACTGGATATGAGAACTTGACAGAAAAACAGGTCTCAATGATCAGACCAGGACCTAACATATTGCTCCCTGCTCTGCTCAGCTGCGGAGTGGGGGTATCTGGGCTCCTCAAGAGCTTTAGGACAGGTCTTATCTTCTCAAGCAGAAAGCTGCACGGTTTAAGCGAGAGAGGCTGAGGCTACAGCAGCACACAAAAACCCCACGTGCTGCTGTAGTCTCCCATCTGTCACACTGACACAGCAGAATTAAATGTTTCCCAACAAAAGCAAATCCATGTGGACTCAGGAAGATCCCCTTTCTAAGCCAAGGCATTTTGTGCATGCTCTCTCTGTGGTCCCCAAGGACCTCTCAATCAGGTTTCCTTTGGTGTTGAAGCAGACTTGATCCTATTTGGTCTTGATGGGAAAAAAAACACCATAAACACTTTGCATCTCCAGGTCTCTGGAGATACTGGCTGTCTTTGCATCCCTCTCCATTCCTTAATCAGACCATGGTTTCTGCGCTTCTTCCTCTGTCCTGTCCATGTGAGATGTGAGCATCCTGCAGCAGGGATCAGCTGTGGCTGGGTGACTGCAGGGGCTGCAGCAGGGTCCCAGTTGTGGCTAGGATATAGATAAAAAGGGAGGAGATGAATGAATGTCTGATGGCTTGAATACAAAGCTCACAGGAGCACATGTTAATGGGCATGTTGAAGTTTCATGTGGCCTTTGCACAGGCCACAGTATACTGTGCTCAGCGTGTCTGTGGAGCAAGGCACTCATATAACTCCTTATAAACTTCAGGCAGGACGGAAGATGTTCTTGTCAGGAACACAAGTCCCTGAGAAAAGGGACGTAGAATTACAGAGGCTGGAAGGGACCCCTTGGAGGTCAGCTTGTAAGAGCCCCTGCTCAGGACCAGGACAACTTCAAAATTATGTTTGGTTGCTCAAGGCCTCCAAAGACAGTGTTTCCTTGTCCAACTGTTCCCTTCCACCCCAGTAACCTCAGTCTTCCCCTAAGCAGGGTTTTCAGCCCTCTGGGTTTATCTACCTAAAAAGTACTAGACATCCTGCCTCGGGGCCTTTTCAAAAGAGACATTAGGCGTCCAACCTGGTTGCTGTTTTGAAAGTTGGCTGAAGGTGCCGGAGGGGGCTCCAACACACAGAGACATGGCAGGAGGAGAGACTCTGGCTGTTGTTGCCGCCTCGTGTCTGTCAGCATTTGCTGTGCTGGTTCCTTCTCCTGCTGTAGTTCTAGTGAGTGCAATGACCGTGCAAGCACTGTCCTGGCGTGCAGGTCTGTGGATCCCCGTGAGTGACAGCCGTGCTCATTCGTGCTGGCAGCTGTAGGGTGCTTGTTCCCAGGGATCCCAGGCACTGCACCTTTGGAGAGGATCCCCTCCTACTTAAAGCGTGGTGATAAGAAAGGTTTTGGAAACATGCCATGGTCTTGGCCATTAATAACCTTTAAGTGTTTCCTGCCAGTGAGGGCTGTAGCCTGTGGTATCAGCTGCTGGGGAAATAGGGGGAACCTTGGGATTTAGGGCTTTGAGAAGCTGATTCTTCTGAAGACTTCAAGATATCTTGGAAGGAACAATCCTGCTTTGGTGGAAAGACAGAAGGGAGGTCCCAAGACTCCTGAGTCACAGAGACCGTGATGCTGAAGGAGAAGGGAGGGCTGTGGGGTGTTCCACGTGCAGTAGATATCCGGCTGGAGGGAGCAAAGCAAGCACAGCTCCAGCAGCCCAGTTGGTAACATCACCATTGCTCTTATTCTCAGAAACTCAAGCAAATGCTTCGGTTCCTCGTTCCTGCCTGCTGACCGTACCAGCGTGGCCATGACTCAACCCAGCTTCCAGGACTGAGGGGCAGAGGTGGTGAGAGACCTGTCTCAGGTATGACAGAGACAACCAAATAGCCTGGGGTTTAATGGGGTGGGGAAAGGGTATGAGGTATCTGTGAGATTTCTTCAGCAACACCTCCCACCCTGGGAGGGACTGGGGAAGCTCCAGGGTCACCAGCCAGTCCTCTTCCCTCCCTGCTCTCAGTGAGCTCCTCGGACTTTGCTAGAAGAGCCACAGCAAAGGCTCTTCGTGGAGCAAAGGCTTCTCCATCTGCACCCCTACCTCTGTGTTGCAGGGTGAGGCCCCACGATAGAACCGATGGAGAGTGTGTACTCGGTGGAGCCAGTACCTGATGGTGCTGGCCCCACCTCGTTGGATGTGCTCAGCTTCCTGGATGCCCTGGTGAACAGCACGGAGGAGCAATGCTTCACCGCCCGCTCCCGCAGCACTGTCCTGGAAGGGCTGCCGTTCGGTGGTGTGCCCACCGTGCTCGCCATCAACTTCATCCTCTGGCTGGTGAGTAGGCCAGGAGGGTGCCATGTCCACGGGCACAGCAGCCCTCAGCTGGGGTGTCAGAGGCTGGCTGTGAGCACAAGTGTCTGTTCTACGGCTGTGCTGACAGCCACACGTGTGTGCACCATGTGTGCCGGTGTGTCTGGCTGTTTAGGGGAACGAGTATGAGTGCAGAGGACTAAGACCTTTGCCCGCATTGTGGCACTTGGGCAGCAATGAGATCATGGAGCAAGAGTAGGTTGGCTTGAGGCAAGAGTTTTGCATGAGGTTGGCCTCGTGAACAGGAAAACAGAAAGGAGTGCTGTGGGAACACCCCATGCAATGAGACCTTGCAGCAAAACCATTCCCCTCTCCTCTTGCCTCTTCTTGCAGCTTCTCCTCCTGGTCTTCTCCTGCCTTCGGAAAGCTGCTTGGGACTACGGGCGCCTGGCGCTGCTGATGGACAATGATAGGTGAGCAGGACACAAGGCCACCATGGGTGGTGGCTCCAGCCTCTCCAAGAGGGGTGGCAGGAGGGACAGTGCTGCAGGGTGGCCCATGGAGAAGCTCAGCAGGTGTTCCTGTCCCCGCTTCCCACTAGGAATGACCTGGCTGCCCTTGCCCATGGAGGCACAGTCACCGTTTGCTGCAGGGGGAGGGAAAGCCCAAGCCAGCTTTGATTCCCTCTTGCAGGCACCATCTGGTGACGATGCTGTCAGTGCCAGGGAGGGCACCGTCCTGAGGAGGACAGATGCCCAAGAGCCGCTTTCGGTTGGGAACTGAGACACCACCTGTCCCCCTGCTGCTCTCTCAGGATGAGCAGGGCTGGCCAGTGCAGGAGGCAGAGGGGGACACGCAGCAGTAACACTCTTCCTCATGTCAGCAGAGCAGCCCCTGGGAGGAAATGTAAAAGCCCCTCTCCTGCTTTCTCCCCTCTCCAGCTCCTCTCGGGCTCAGGCTCTGGAGCTGAGTCTGGCAAGGGGCAGGCAATGTTTCCCTTCACTGGGAAGAGATCAAAAGGGCAATCAAGACTTAAAATTCAAGCGCTGATTACATTCCTTTTACTGTAATGCTGTTTGAGGGCCGAAACCAGTGGAATATAAAAATCCGGTTCAGCAGGCTCTTGTCGAGGAGCTAAGGCCAATTCTCCACTAGCACTAGTGAGTGTAGCCCCTGCCCCAAGCCCAGCAGTGTCACTGGTCCAGCCTCAGTGCAGGATGTGTAGGGGGGAGGCATTTCCCAGGTTGCTGTCCTGGGAGAAGCTTCTCCTCTGGTGCTCATCCTCTCCTGTCTGCTGCTTCTCTCCTGCCTCCCCCCTCCACTCCTCCCTTCACTGCAAAGTTTGACGTCACTTTTCTACGGAGAGCAGAGTGAGAAGGAGAAGTCCCCATCGGAGAGCAGTCCCCTGGATGTCGACAACAAGGATGTGGTGAGTGCCAGTGGCCCTGACAGCAGGAGTCCAGGCTGGGCTTGTCCTGGCCTGGACTGCCCTGCTCTTCATGGGAAACCCAGGTCAGAAGTTAAATGGGAGAAATTAAATGCTCCAGTGTGGGGTTTCCTGCTTAAGGCCTTTTAGCAGCAGGGTGTTCCTGGGAAAACTGGGGGATTTCTTTGTCCTGGGTTGATTTGAGGCATCTACCTTGAATGGAGGAGATGCTCCTGCCAGGGTGAGCATCTCCCAGCTGCTTGGCTGCGGGGACCTAGTTGGATGGCCAGAGCCTTGCTCTGCACGCCTGCAGGGACATTTCTGGTCCTAGCAGGCAGAGTCCCCTGGATCACACCTCCACCTCTGTGGCATGGTGTGCTGTGGGGGCTTTGAAGCCATCTTTTGTTTCTCTCTACCACACCAGGCACAGACCAGATTTTGCTAGAAATGAGCGTGGACGGACAGGGTTTTGTCTGTTTCTCTTTTCTGGCAACAAAAGCTGAAAGATCAGTCACTGGTGTGGCTACGAAAAAAAGGACAGAACTTCTTAAGAAAAAAAAGCTAGGCAGGAAAAGTGCAGAAGCAAAATCTTTGCAGGTGGCAAGAGTCCTGTTTAAAGGCTCGGTACTGGATGCTCTGGGCAAATGTGTATTGCTCATCAAAAAATAAGTGAGAAAGGCCACAGGGAATGCCAGCAGGGCTAAGAAGCAGATTAAGGGAGATTATTAGATATAAGAAGACATCCTTTTAAAAGTCAAGCTGTTCCCAAATGAGGAAAATCTAAACTCTGCCAGGTGTAAAATACACTAAGGTTTGGGAGGGAAGGGAAGGGGAGTTTGAGGAGAAATCGGTAGAGAGTGTAAAAGCAAGTATTGGATTTTTCTTTGCACATCAGGAACAAGAAACCTGCCAGAGGGTTTGTAGGGCTCATAGGTGGTGAAGATAGAAAATGCTTGTTGGAGAAAGTGAGGATGTGGCAGGAGAGCTAAATAAAGTTTTGTTGCCTGTATCCAGTGAGAAGCTCAAGCAAATTCCTGCCCAGGGAGCTTCTCTGTGGGGAAGCAGCAGAACATCCCTCCAACAGCAGGGTTGGAGGATGAGGTTGCAATAAAAGCAGCCTGACAAATTCACAGGTTACTACCACAAATTCCCAGAAGCAGAGGTGGGACTTCTCACTCACGTGCGACCTCTCCCCTGCACGTGGGCATCCTAGAGAGCTGGGAATCAGCTGATAAATGCTGTTTTTTCAGGAGGGTGTCTGGAAAACCCAAGAAATTACAACCCAGAGAGCTTGTGGACTGCATGGACAGCCTCCCAGAGTAGGGTGTAGGAGGGGAGTCAACTCGGCTGTGCTAAGGGGGTGTCTGGCCCCCATGGAGCTGTCAGGCATGCAGGGGTGCCTGCACCTCCAAAACATAGGAGATAAAAGCTCTAATGTTGCATATTCAGTGACAGGGAAAAAGCTATTACACAAGATCTCGGTGTTGTTGTGTATCACTCTATGGCAGCGTCAGCTCAGCGCTCGGTAGTGGTCAAAAAAGCACATTGCATGTTAGGGGCTGTCAGAAGGCACAGAGGAGGGAGCTGCTGGAAGCCAGGGGCTGTGTTACAGAGATGTCCCATATTTCCTGCTCCTCCTGGGACAGCTGCCTTTGGCCACCACTGCAGACAAGCCTCTGGGCTGAGCATCACCAGTCCCTTGGCACTGCCTCCATTGGCTCAGGCCCCTGGCCCCAGGCACTGCAGCGTCTCCGTGCAGATCCCCAGTGCATGCCATGTCCCAGCTCCTCGCCAAGGAGGTGGGGGTGGTCACCCCTGGCTCATTCCAACTTTCTTACCTTCCAGGGATTCTGCTCCTGGCTCATTTCTATCTACCAGATGAAGTAAGTGTGTGTCCTCAGCATTGCAGCCATGCCTCACCGCTGCCTGTCCCTGGGGAACCCATGCCCTTAGGTGGTCACACATCACCCAGAGCTGCTCAGACTAGTGGCTGAGGAGAGCCCTCTTAAAATGTCCCCCTGGGAGAAAGAGCAGAGGGCTCACTTCTGTGTTTCCTCCTGTCCCCGGCTCCTGTCCCAAAGGAATAGGCTTCAACCTTTTCTGGTAGGAGCTGGTCCTGTAATGGGGTGGCAGCCTGAGGGCTGGTTCTGTGCCCAAATCCCACCTGCCACAGGCAAGATGTCATGAGTTGGTGTGGGTCGTGTGAGGCCAAAGCAGCCAGTGTCCCTGGGGTGGGAGGTGGTGGGCAGGCACCATCAGCACTCACCCCTACCTGCATCTCCCCTAGGGACGAGGAGATTCAGAGCAAGTGTGGCATCGATGCCACCACCTACCTCTCCTTCCAGCGGCACCTTCTGGTCCTGCTGATGCTGGTTTGTGTGCTTTCTGTGGCCGTCATCCTGCCTGTCAACTTCTCGGGGGACCTCCTGGGTAAGTGCTTTCCCAGTTGGGGGATGGCTCAGGAGCATGGTACAAGCTTCCCCATGCTTGAGCTGAGCACCCTGCTCTGGGGACAGAGGGCAGAAAAAAACCCCCTCCATCAGGATCCCCCATGTGAGCAGGAACCCACCATCAGCTGTGGGACAGAGAAATGTAAGAGGGAGGGAGCTTCAGGGCAGTGGGGGCTTGAGGGGGACCTGGGAGGTGGAAAAGGAGGGAGCAAAGACCAGTGCAACTAATCCTGCAAGCATGGACACACACACTGCACTGGGTTCCCATAACATCCTTCTTCTCTTCCTCTGCAGGACACAATCCCACCCACTTTGGCCGGACAACCATCGCCAACATCCCAACACAGTACGTGGCTCCTGTGTTTGGGTGGGCTATGGGTGCTGCTGCTGCAGCGGGCACTGGTGGGAGTGCCCAGGATGGTCTATGTGCCATGCACCCACCACAGCACTTGCTGATCCCTTCTTCTCCTCCTCCAGGGACCGTCTCCTGTGGCTGCACAGCATCTTCGCCCTCATCTATTTCATAGTCACCATCCTCTGCATGGCTCACCACTCCATCCACCTTGAATACAGAGAGAACGAGAAGGTGAGCAACCACCCTTCCTCCAGCCCTGCCTTGTTTAGCACCAATGGACAATTTTGTGCTTTGCAGAAGGGATGGTCCGGGTAGACATGGAGAGCTTTAGAAACAGCCTGGGGCTAGGCAGGCAGGGAAAAATAAGGCTGGTTTTCTCCAGCTTCTGGAGAAAGCTTGGCAGCCCGGAGGCAAATCTCTCCATCCTGCTGCCTTGTCTCTTGAGACTGAAGCTCTGCTATATCTGTCTGGGAGGTTGCAGTGTTTTGCTGTGCCCCAGGCTTTGGGAGCAGGCTTTGAGGAGGTCTGTGCTGGGTGGCAGTCGGTGCCCTCACTCATCTCTGCCTTCCTGGTGGCTGTGCTAACAGGGTGGCAGTGCAGCAGCTCATGGACACCCACCCTCTCTGCCCCTTCTCCTCCCGCAGGTTGCCCGGACACTGATGGTTACCCATATCCCCAAGGAGATCACAGACCCTTCCCTTATCATCAAGCATTTCCAGTGAGTAGCAGCATGCTGCAGCCTCACCAGGGCGGCTGGCAGGCAGGTGGCAGGGACTGTCCCCGTCCCCCAGCTCCTGGTGCCACCATGTCCCTGTGCCCGCAGTGAGGCTTACCCCAGCTGCACCGTCACCAACGTCCAGTTCTGCTTCGACGTGCGCAAGCTGATGAAGCTGGATGCAGAGAGGTGAGTGCCTGCAGGTCCCCGTTGCCTCTGGGGGTGGGTGTACCACTCCTGCCCAGCATGTCAAGGGACCCAGCCTGTTTGTCTGCTGCTCCCTGAATGACTTTCGTCCCTATTGGCTTTCTGGCAGGCGCAAGGCAATGAAGGGGCGGCTTTACTTCACCACCAAGGCACAGAAGGAGGGGAAGATCATGATCAAAACCCACCCCTGCGCCCGCATCTTCTGCTGCCGCTTCTGTGGCTTTGAGCAGGTAGGTGGGCACAGGCCGGGCTGCAGGCAGCATGTCCCCATGTCCCCTCTGTGGGCAGGGCAGAGGATGGCAGCTCGCCCATGCCACAGCCTGGTGAGCACGGCAGAGCCCCGGCTGCTCCTGCAGGTGGACGCCGAGCAGTACTATGGGGAGCTGGAGGAGAAGCTCACGGACGAGTTCAACGCCGAGCGCAACCGCATCACGCTCAAGCGGCTCGACATGGCCTTCGTCACCTTCCAGGACGAGCGGATGACAGCTGTGTAAGTGTCCCTCAGACGTGCTGGCACAGGCACGTCCCCCAGCCTGGTGGCCACTGCCTCTGGGGCACCTTGCCGGCTCCTCTGGCCAAAGCCAGGCAACAGGTCTGTCTCTGCCTGTGCCTCTGCCATCTGCAGAGATGGCTGCTTTTTGGGGGCTGCGGGAAGGGTCTCATGAGAAGAAGGAGGGGTTCTGACCCCTGGCTCCCTCCTCCTCCTGCAGGATTTTGAAGGACTACAGCCACATTCGCTGCCGCAAGCACCCCCAGCAGTCCTCTGTCACCACCGTGGTCAAGTCACATCACTGGGGCGTTCACTATGCTCCTGCACCCAGCGATATCATCTGGTGAACCCCCATGGCATGAGAGGGAGGGAGGGCAAGCAGTTGGGAGGAACCCATACCCATAGCTACAGGGTGCCCATACCCATAGTTACAGGGAACCCGTACAGCTGTGGGGAACTTGTGCCCTTACCAGTAGGGTGCCTTCTCAGGGTGGCAGGGGCTGACAGTCCCTCCTATGGCCGTAGCAGAAATCACCAGGGGTGACTGGAGTGATCACCCCATGGGTGGCAGGGCTTGGCCAGGTGAGGTTTGTGGTCATGGCCAGGCTCTGATATCTGCACCCTGACACCAAAGCCTCCTGGTGGCATAGAATTCCCACTGCAGTCATACTGTGCCCCTGAGGGCTCTGCAGGTGTCAGTGCAGCAGCCCGGGACGGCAGGGGGTTGGTTGAACTTGGAGCAAGGTCTGCCAGAATGGTTGGTGTGGGCAGTGGGAGGCAGAGTTTTGGGGAGCCGGGCTAGGAGACCCAGTTCATGTGGCTTTTCCTCTGCACCGTGTCCAACTTGTGCTTTCCTCTCACAGGGAGAATTTATCGGTCCGTGGCACATCTTGGTGGGTGAGATTCATCCTCCTTAATATCTGCCTCTTCATCCTCCTCTTCTTCCTCACTACACCAGCCATCATCGTCAACACTATGGACATGTTCAACGTCACGCAGCCTGTGGAGAGTCTCAAGGTAGTCCCTGGGGCCCCATGCCAGCTTTCCCAAAGGGTCTGCATTTCCAGGCTTGTCCATGACAGGGGGGAGGGCATCGGCTCTATACTGGCCCAAGAAGATGAGCCATCACTGGTGTCATGGTTTAACCCCAGCTGGCCACTAGGACTGCATAGCCACTTGCTCGCTTCTCTCTGGTCCCCCAGTGGGATGGGGAGAAGAATCAGAAAAATAAGGAAAATTTGTGGCTTGAGATAAAGACAGTTTAATAAGTAAAGAAGGCTGCACATGCAAGCAAAGCCAAACATTCATTCACTACTTCCCATGGGCAGGCAGGTGTTCAGTCATTTTCAGGAAAGCAGGGCTCCATCACGTGTAATGGTTACTTGGGAGAAGAACAAAACACCATAACTCTTAATGTTCCCCCCCTTTCTTCTTCCCCCAGCTTTATACACTGAGCGTGATGTCATATGGTATGGAATATCCCTTTGGTCGGTTGGGGTCAGCTGTCCCAACTGTGTTCCCTCCCAGCTCTTGTGCACCCCCGGCCTACTCAATGGTAGGGTGGGCTGAGAAGCAGAAAAGGCCTTGACTCTATGTAAGCATCGCTCAACAGGAAAGAAAACATCCCTGTAGTATCAACATTGTTTTCAGCACAAATCCAAAATACAGCCTCATACTAGCTACTATAAAGAAAATTAACTCTATCCCAGCCAAAACCAGCACAACTGGGATGAGCACTTATGAGAAGCAAGGAGTGGTCATGCCCCTGCTTGCCACCCATCCCCTTCTTGATGTGTTTCTGGTGGCAGAGCCCTGGGGCACCTGTGCCAACCTGAGCTTTGGTGCTGGTGTCCATGGCAGAGGGCAGATTGGTGTCCATGCAAGAGGAGAGAGGTGGGAAGAGCTCCAGGAGATGTTAGGGGCTGCCAATAGCACATCTCCTTCCTGCTCCAACCTGTGAGCTGTTGGGGGGCACTGGGGCTCAGAATGTGACTGTGGTGCCTTTGATTAGCCTCAAGTTCTTACCTCCTGAAACAAATGTCCCTGCTCAGGGAGGGGATGCCCCAGCCTGCCTGTTGCACACACCATCCTGCATCAGGGGGCCCAGGGCAATACCTCCAGCATGGCTGAGCTCTGGCAGGCTCCTGAGGGGGTGTTTGGTATCTCTCTTCCTGCAGAACCCCATCATCACCCAGTTCTTCCCTACGCTGCTGCTCTGGGCCTTCTCCGTCTTCCTGCCCTTCCTCGTCTATTACTCAGCATTCTTCGAGTCGCACTGGACAAGGTAATGGGACTGGTCCCTGCACTCCCCCAGGGCTGTGGTAGGTGGGAGGAACCTCAGTGGAACTTTTGGGACCCAACCTACAGGGAGGCAGGCAGTGGAGCAACAGAGCCCCATGGGTGTTGCCCTCCATGGAAAGAGCTCCAAGTCCTGAAGGAGCCATTTCCTTGCCATAGCCCTGAACGCTTCCAGGCTGCTGACAAAGGCAGGTGGAGCTGGTTTTTAGATGGGTCTGAAGAAATTGTGATGGTGGACTGGCAGCAGCAGGGCCATGACCCTGACTCGCATGGCACATCCCAGCTATACCCCCAGCCCTCCAAGGCAGAGGTGTGGGTTCAGGATGCTCAAAGTCTCCTAGCAGAGGAAGCTCTTACAATTTGCTCTTTCTGTCTTGACCTTCCATGGGCCCCAACCCTGTGCCTGGTCTGCTGAGTCCCTGCAGGAGCTTTGTCACCACCTCCTTTCCTTTTCCTGGGGAAAACAGGGACTTCTAAATGCGTTGTAGACAGCCAGCTGCTTCTTGTTTGATGTCTACACCAGCAGAGATGGTAGGAGAGGGCAGGGATGAAGGAGGTGAGAGGCTGGGAGGACAAGAGCTTTTGTTACAGCAGATGTACTCATGGTGACTGCCCCCCGGGCCTTGGAGATTCTTTGCAAGACCCCAGCAGACGCACAGATTGAATGCAGGTGGCTTCCTGGGGCTGGAGATAGCTCCTGCTATAGAGTGAGAACCAGCCCAGCCTCTCCCCGTACTGTCTGCTCTGCCTCAGAAAGTTGCAACGTTCTTCTCTTGCCTCCCCTCTCCACAGGTCAAGTGAAAATCAGCTTACCATGCACAAGTGCTTCTTCTTCCTGGTGTTCATGGTCATCATCCTGCCCTCGCTGGGGCTGAGCAGGTATGGACCACCTTGCTGTGCTGCTCTCCCTCCTTCTCAGCAGCTGGGATTGCACCCAGGTCCCTTGCCTCCCACAAGCCAGCCCCAAAGGGCTACCGGCCCACCACTGCTGAAACACGGCTGTCTCTGGGGAGGAGAACACTTGCTGTTTTTCCATGCCAAGCTGCTCTTAGAAAGCTGCCCTGCGGAGAATGAGGGAAGTGGAGCAACTTGACAGGCTGCCACAGTGCTGGTTGTGTCCTGCTTGGGGGAGGTCAGCCCTCAGCAGACCCTGAAAGGACCAGGTCAGGTATCTGTGTAGCCCCAGCTACAGCAATCCTGACCGCCCGGGAGGCAAGCACCCACGCTACAGTGGTCCTGTGTGGCAGAAGGGGTTGCTTTGGTGGTGTAGGGTTGAGGGTCTCACCCAGTCGGGGCAGGGGGAAGTATGTGCCCTCTGAGTGCACCACTGGTTGCTCTTCAGCTCCCTCTCTTTCTGAGGTGCTCCTCTTCTTCCCCCTGCAGCCTGGACCTTTTTTTCCGCTGGCTCTTTGACACGCACTTTCTGGACGAGGCCAATATCAAGTTCCAGTGAGTAGCAGGGAGCTTCTGGGCAAGCAGGAGCACCCGACACCAGCCCTCAGTGGCTCTCCTGGCCACCTGCCTGAGTATCCACACCCTCTGTGTCCCTGGGGCAGGTGCGTTTTCCTCCCGGACAACGGCGCTTTCTTTGTCAACTACGTGGTCACCTCCAGCCTGATTGGGACAGCCATGGAGCTGCTGCGCATCCCAGGACTCCTTGTCTACACCGCCCGCCTCTGCTTTGCCAAGTCTGAGCCCGAGCGGCTCCATGTCAAGCGGGTACGTGGCTCTGGTCACCTCTGAGCCCACATGTCCCCTGGCAGGGCAGGGACATGCTCACTGGAAACTCAGGCTGTCTGTGGGGAGGCCACCATACAAGGGGTGCCGCTGGCCCATGGGAATAACAGGGGGAGGCAACTGTGTGGGCACGGGTGCTAAGGCAACGCAGCCTTTGCAGAGGCAGTAATGGCACTTTTGGTTGTCCCCCAGAGCCAAGCCTACCAGTTCCAGTTTGGCCTGGAGTACGCATGGACCTCTTGCATCTTCTCCGTCGTCATGACCTACAGCATTACCTGCCCCATCATTGTCCCTTTTGGTGAGTACCGTACCATCCCCCAGTCCCACCACCCTGGGCCGTGCTGAGAGTGGCCAGTCCCAGCTGCCAGCAGCAGTGTGGTGGTAAGAGCTTCCCATGTGGTACAGGAGGGTATTGTCCCCTGGGCCACTGTCCCTGTGCCCTGGCTATCCCTGTTGTCCTCCTCCCAACTGGCCGCTCTCCTCCCACCAGGTTTGCTCTACATGCTGCTCAAGCACATGGTTGACCGGTACAACATCTACTACGTGTACATCCCCACCAAGCTGAACCAGCGCCTCCATGTCGCTGCCATCAGCCAGGTCGTTGTGGCCCCCATCCTCTGCATGTTCTGGCTGCTCTTCTTCTCCGTCCTGCGCCTTGGTAGGGAGAGCTTGGGGTTGCCCTCCACCACTACTAAAGGTCACATCTGACACTTGGGGGGACAAGCCACCGGTGTCATCCCTGAGTTAGGCATGGCATGGAGGGCGGGAGGGGGGATGGAATAGGGGAAAGCGTGATGGAGGTCTGTCAGGGGAGGGGGGTGTCAGTGAGTGGTTTGGGAAGGGGATTGAGAGCTTGTAAGACCCAAAGCAGGCACCAGCCTGGGTCTTGACTGGATGTACAGCAGGTCCTTGGAGGCTCATGTGCTGCCCCAGTGTCTCTCTGCTCTAGGTCCCACCCGGCCTGTCACCCTCTTCACCTTTGTGGTCCTCCTTTCCTGCATCGTCTTCTCCTTCTTTGGCCTCTGCCTGAAGAAGCTGCAACCACGGAGACCCTCCAGCTACCAGGTGAGCATGGGCAGCCACCCGTCCTGTTCCCTCACCTTGCTGCATCCCCTCCCTGCCTCTCTGGGGTGTGTTTGCTGTGGGGAGTCTGAGGCGGTGCCTGGCTGCCCCCCACCTTCCACTGTGGATCCCCACTCCATCGTTTCCTCCTGGCCTCCCTCTCCTCAGATGTCTGACCAGTCTGATGGCGCCTTCAATGATGTGGAGCGGAGCAGCGTCTCCTCCACCCCCAACTCCAATGTGAGTACCCGTCCCAAGCCCTGCTGTGTCCCCCCTTGCCTTGCTTCCCTGGACCCTGACCACCTTCTGCCCCCCGGGGCAGCTCTTCGTGGCCACTGTCCTGCAGGAGCCCGAGCTGAGCCTGACACCGGCGGCCTCCCCAGCGCACCAGTCCTATGGCACTATGGGCAACCACCTGGAGCCAGCAGAGGATGGGGAGGACGGGGGGCTGCAGAGCTTTGAGACGGAGCTGGAGACGGTAGAGGGCGAGTACAGGAGTGGCCCCGTGATGGAGAGCCAGGCCCGCTACCAGTGAGCATCCCTGCCGCCGGGGCAAGGACTGGCTGTGCTGAGAGCGGTGGACATGCCGGGGGGCAGGAAGGAGCCTTCCTAGCACCAGTGGGGACCACCTCGCTGGTGGGGTAGGGGGACGACAGAACTGGTGTGAGGGTGAGACCCCGCTGCATGGGAGGTGGAGGGAGGCTCTGCTGGTCCCTCCTGCTGCCTGGACCGGCTCAGTGTCCCCATGCTCCCTCATCCCCACCTGCCTCTTCCAGCTTATCGTAGGGAAGAGGGGGTGCAGTGGTGTGGGGAGAGGGTGTCTCTGAGAGGCCTTGCTTTGGAGGGCAGGAGGAAGGCTCTGGCCCCTCCATGAGGGGAAGCAGCTCAGACAGCTCAGATGAATGTGTCCGCCACCATGCTGCCCCATGGGTCCTCAGTGGCAGGTGCCGGCCGCCCCTAACCCTTGCTTCCTACCCTGCCCACCCACTGCTCATGGTGGCTGTCCCTCCGTGCCAGCCATGCAGGCTCCTGCCCACCTCCACTGCCACCCCCAAGGCTTTGCCATTAAAGCAGGGACTGCTGAGACGTGTGTGCTTTGGTGGAGGAGGTGAGTGCCTGGGGCTGCTCCCACATCTGCCTGAGCACCATCGGCTTTGCCCTGAGGCAGACATCGAAACGCAAGCCCAGATCTTCCCAACCCTCCCACCCCATCCCACCACCACACCATGCCTGTGCCCTTGGCTCCTCGGGGCTGAGTTGGGAGGTCAAGGGATGAGTGAGTCACAATGGCTGTGAGGGGAGCTCCTTGTCATCCCACTCCCCTCAGCAGCCTCCCCTTCGTGCTTACCTTCTCCCTGGGGCTGGCCGTAGGACCCCTGCATGGCTCTGTCCTAGTTGCCACAGAAATGGGGCAGGGGGAGCTGGCAGAGCCCCAGCCTCTGGGTCCTGGTCCACCGCATCCTGCCCTTGCCTGCAAGCCACAGCCACGGGATGCTCCTCCAGCAGCCGCACCACCTCTTGAGTGTGAGTCCTGCTGTGGTCAGTGTGAATGCACCAGCTTCTGTCCGGCCGGTATCCCTGGGGTTTTCCAGCTCATCTGCAACAGCTGTGGAGGCCTCTGGAGACAAGGACCATCTCCCACCAGGTCTGCCTGGCCACGCTGGCTCCTTGCTCAGCCCCACTTTGGCCTCGGGGCTGATTTTCCTGCTCCTGACCTTCCTGCTGGCTTCAGAGTGATTCCAGCCACCATCCCAGGGCCATGTAGGGGGGGAAGGGATGATGATGATGATGATGCAGCTCTGCTGGCGCTGCTGCTGTGGGGAATGCAGCTGTGTGCAGGCAGGTGCTCGTCCATGGCACCATGGGGCGTTACTGGTACCACTGTGGGGAGGTGGAGGGGGCACGGTGTGCCAGCCCAGCAGCGAGCTGCGGGTCGCTGTTGGACTCCAGTGGGCCTCCTGTGGGGCTGGTGGGTCTCAGCTCGGCTGACAGCCCCATGGCCTCCATCCCACCCGTGTTCCTGCATGCTGGGGTGATAGCTGTGGCTCACTAGCCACTGAGCGGTTGCCTTGGAGGAGCCTCAAGCTCAGCTCCCAACCCCAGAAGGGGCTCTGTGGGGCTTGTGGCTCCTCACCCAGGCTCCTCCAGGGCTGCGGCAGCTCAGCTGTGGCCCTCACTTCCCAGCTGCGGGGGCAGCCCTGGTGGGAGCAGGAGGATGCCGGTGGCCTCTCTCCGGGTGGAAGCAAGTGCCTGCAAGCGGCACCATGTCCTCGGGAGCTCGGGCTGCTGGTCCGATTGCCCTTGGCTGCCCCGCTGTAGGAATGTGCCAGAGGTCTGTACCTTCTCGTGATTTATTGCTATGACCGTGCCTTGAATAAAATGACTTCACCCAGCCGCTGCCTGGCGTCGTCACCCACCGTGCGTCCTGCCTGGCACCAGGAGAGGAGGGACCCTCACTGCTGGAGCCTGTGAAAGCACCCCCAACCCTGTTCCCCACCTGTGAGCTGCTTTTGACCCTTCCTGGGGATGTCCTGCAGAGGCTTCAGTGGTAAGGAGACCACTTGGACACCTCCCCTTCTCCAGGGACCTTGCCGCCTACAAAAGCAAACCTCAGTGAGTGGGGCGAAGCAGCAAAAGCACAGAAGCATGGAAGCACCCCACCGTGTCCCCTCAGAAAGATGGGCACAGCCCTTGGCACCATCCCCGACATGGGGGATGGAGTGCAGCCCTGGAACAGAAATGTGCTTCCCCTACCTGTCCTCTGCCAGCACTCACCCCACAGGCAGGGCTGGCTCAGGACACTATCAAAGGGGCACACACTGCCTGGAGAGAGCCAGAGGGTAGCCTAGAGCTCCTCTGGGACCTCAGCAAGGAGTGGCGGCAGCCAGCCCATCTGAGGATGGAGCAGATGTTCCCAAAGCTGAACTGCCCACCAGCAAGTCCTGGGGAACTCCTAGGAGCAAGGGGAGGCTTTCTTTAGGTTCTGAGGAGACAGTGCTCTTTTGCTCCCCTCCTCCCTTCCCAAAACACATTCTTTATGCCCAAATTCCAACTGGAATTATTTGCCTCTGGTTTCAGCAGGTCCCTCCTGCCCACTCCTCCATGGCTTCCATGGGGTGAGCCCTGCCCAGCCAGCCTGACATACGGTATGGGGCAGGGGGCACAGGGAGAGCTTTGCTGAGCATGAAAAACTGGAAAAATCTAAAAACCCACTGCCCTCATCACACATGCCCACAGAGGCCTCCCACAGTTCATAATTAGTGGTAGACAGGGCCTTGCTGGCACCGGGGAGCTGAGGTGGGAGCCCTGGCTGTGAGTGAGGGCTGTAATTGCCCCCCTGGCTCGCAGCTCGCCCAGCCCTCGCACCAGGGAAGCTCATCACAGCCTAACGAGGTTGTATAAGCCCCATCACACTGCATCTCCCCCGCTCCGGCCCTCAGAAACCTGCTCTCCTGATTACAGCCTGTGCATCCAGAAGTCAGGGTTGAGCAATTGCACGGCCTCTCCCTCTGCGCCAGCCGGCGGCGGGCAGTGCTGGGAGCATCCCTGCTGCGCAGAAGCCAAGGCAAAGGGGTGGTTTCGGGGCACCATGACAAACCTCTGCGCTGGCACAAGAAGTTAAAGCTGGGGGTGCTGCGCTGGCCCATCCCCGCAGCGCTGGGGTTGGGGTCTCACCACCAGCCCTGAGGCTGGCAGCTGTGCCCCCAGGAGAGAAAGAGCCAGAAAATGTATTTTGGCAATAATGAACTAAACGTTTCTACTGCTCTCCTCAACCTTCATAGCCCACCACATTTTGCCCTGCAGAACAAGCCCCATCCTAAGCACAGCTTTCCTAGGATACTCACCATAATCACCTGTGGCAGGGCTGGGATTTCCAGCCCTCAGGAGATGCTATCACAAATCCCAAGCTGGCTTGCCCGCTCTAGGAATCATCCTTCAGTGCCAAGTGCCCAACTCTCCCAGGGCTGGAAATCCACCACGTCAAAGCTAGAACATGCTCAGGGGAAGGGGAGACAGGACCTCCTGCATCCCCACCAGCTGCTCCCTGGGTCATGGCTGCTGAGGCGGTTCCATGATCCAGCTGGAAGGGTGGATGCTGCATGGAGCCAGGCAGGACCTCGCTGGGAAGCCATACCCTGCTCCTGTAGGCAGCCAGCAGCAGGTGACCAGCAGCAGGTGAGCTGATGCTATCTCAAAGATCAAAAGCAGCAGCTGAACAACAGAAATGAGATTTTTAGGCTGATTGCTTAAAACTCTAATTCAATTAGAGATGGTTAAATTTGAAGGGTAATGAGCAATCAGCAGCAGGACACCTTAGCTAGCCCCTCTGCTGCTCACCCATTCAATTACAGTGCACAAAAGCTCCCAAGAGATGTTTGGTGCTGGATGCCTTCTCATGTCCCTCGAGCTGAACTACATAAACACTCCCAGTGACCAGTAACTCCAAAGCCTGAGCCAACAAGAAACCAGTAAATCCCTCTCTGTCATCCTATTTTTTTTGGCTTACTCGGGCCTTTTATATTAAAATAAACATAAGGCAGCAAAAGGGGCCGAGACTCACTGTTGTTCTTTATTGAACAGTACAGCTGGGTATAAGAGGCACACGGACTAGTTCAGTTCTGTTGGGAGTTACACAAAACGTGGTATAGAAGAGGAGAAGTCAAGGAGCTGGGAAAGCTAGAGGGAGCAGGGATGGTTTGGGGAAGTAACACCCACACCCCACCCATCACACAGCTGCCTACTTGTCATACAGAGCCAGAAGGTCCCTCCCCCCATGATGCTGAAGGCTGATACCCCAGAACAGGGTTGCAAAGAGGACGTTCCCATTCCCAAACCCTCCTGCCTTGTACCATGGGGACCTAGCCCATCACAGCCAAGACCTCCCTCCAGCCCCAGCTCCTCCATCCCTCTCTGTCTGGCATAAGAATAGGGAGGACCTCACCTGACCCAGCTGAAGGAGAGTGCCACAGGCCAAGATGCACACCACCACGCTGTAGGACTGCAGGAGTGGAGCCTGGTACCACGGGGAGGATGGTGATCATCCTACATGGGGATATCCACTGCCTCTTCCACAACACCCCTCAGCTCCCCTTCCAAACACAGCTGGAGGGCTCCTTGCTTGCTGGAAGCCTGTGGCCACCCCCAGGCCTGATGGCAGGGAAGCAGAGCCCCATCTCACAGGGCACCCCATCATCCCCTCCATGGCACGGGGCTGGGAGACTTCAACTGCAAGGAGCAGGCAGCCCTCTCCTGCCCCAGAGTGGAGGACCTCTGAGTACAGGAGGAATGTGTTTCTAAAATAGGACCATCTCAGCCCTCAACATCAGGCTCCGCCTGTCCTGAAGGAGCAGCAAAAAAGGGAGCTCTCTGTAACTGAAAACTTGCTCCATGTCCTTGCCCTGGGGCTAGTGATGGTTGGAAACATGGCTCTGCCTGTCCCACAGTGACTTCCCCACCAAGATGAACTCTTCCTCAAAGTGCTCAAGTTCATTTCCCCCCAGAGCCCTCAGGTACTGCCTCTCAGCCATTTCCTGGGATTTCTTCCAGCAGATACTGTCTTCTCCCTCCTGTCCTGACACAGCACTGCTGCACACACCTCGCTCTGCTACAAAGCATCTGTGTCTCAAGTACGGCTGGGAGCGACTACTGAAGGGTGGGGAGCTCTGCAGATGGGCACTGTGTGCAGCTGGGAAGTGCTCCAGGTCCTGACAGCATCAACAGAGAAATTCCAGCTATGCTTCCTCTGGCCGAGAGCCAGAATGATTTCTGGAAGCTGTTGCCATGACACGATTGCAACCTTCATTTTTATTTTAAGACATCTTTTCTTTGTATTTACTTGATTCTCCTTAACACAAAGCAGTGGAGAGCCACCATGGCTGCTGCATCTCAAGCTGGCTCTGAGGTTAAACCAACCAGCCAAACCAACACAAAGCCTTTCAGCTGGCAGCCCAGACCTGCTAGGAGCAGCCTTACCTCAGGATTAACATGAACAGACTGCTCAAAGCATCCCCAGGAAACACACTGAGTTGTGGCCAACCTGACACAAGGAAAAGCCATGGATCCCACCCAGGGGTGAGGCAAGGCAGAAGAGAGCAGCAGGATTAACCATCCGCTAGTGACAAGTTGGTGAAGGGAGAGGGGGGAAAAGCTCCCCGAAGGTTTGGAGAGGATGGCCACACAGCACAGCCAGCTCCCACATCTGCTGCCCCTGCCCCTGGAGGGATCCAAATCCACCACTGCCACAGCTGAACCGGGCACAGCAGCACGGGAGGAGCGAGCGGTGCCAGACCTGGAAGGTCTTGAGCATGGCAAATAGGATCTTGGGCAAATTAGCCTGAGAGGCCTATGGTAGCTGTCATCTAACTGGGGAGGGTGGCAAGAGGAAGGAAGACAAGCCAGCTAAAACCCAGAGAAGGTACATGGGTGGTGATGCTCCAGCTAGCCCAAAGGCAGGTGGGGCAGGGCGGCATACCTGTGCTGTGGCACTCCTAGGCTTCTCTGCAGAGATGCACCCTGCCAGCCCATAGCAAAGGCAGAGATGTGGTGGTGTGGAAGCAAGGCAGAATCACTGGGAGAGCCCCGAAGCAGGCGTGACTGGAGGAGGCAGCGATGGGCTGGTGCACGGAGAGAGACGGAGGTGGAGAGAGGCAGAGAGCGCAGCCTGAGCGCTCCCCTGCCCAGGACGGCTGCGTGGTCAGGGATGGGGGTGGCTGGCAGGATCTAGTCCCCTTCCGGGAGCGTCTCCCAGCCGCGTCGCATGGCTTTCACCACAGCACCGTAGAGTTTGCTCCAAGCCTCCCGCACATCTGGGCTGAAGGCAGTGCCAAGGCATTTCTCCAGCATGTACAGCAAGGACTCGCCCACAGTCTGCAAAACAAACAGGGAGGTGTCAAGCTCAGCACTGGGGGACAACGTACAGCCCCTTCTCTCACTTCACCACCTTTTTGGACTTCTCCCATTGCAGGGCAGCTGTTCCCGCTCCACCAGCAGGGCCAGGCCACTCCATCCGCTCAGAAGGGACTCAGAGCCAGCCCACCCCATCCCTTTCACTTGCCCTATGCTGGCCCTCACCCCACGCCCCACACCCTGTGTGGGCAGGGAGTGCAGACAGGGAACAAGGGCTGACACCGTGCCCATAACACCAGGGGAGAGGTAGACATCCATCCTCCATCGCTCCCAGATGCAGGTAGCCAGGCCCATCCCCTGGCACAGCAGGAGATCAGCAGAGCTGAGCAATGTCCTGATGCCAGGAGAGAGGGTCAGATCTCAGGCTGGATGCTCAGGGTCTGCCTTGCCACCTCTCAAGCCTCTCCATGGGGCAGTGCTCCTCAGGGAGCTGTGAGCAACCCCATCCAGGAGCACCCACACACCAAGTGCAGGGCTGGCGGGGATCACTAACCCAAGCAGAGGAGGACCCGGCTCTCTCTGAAGAGGCCAATTCTAGCAGTAACAGGAGGGAGCCATGCTGTTTCCTTCAACCTGCCCTTCTCTGCTGCGTTAACCAGAATTTCTGTCCATGCTTGATGGCAGGAGAGCAGTAAGCAAGGGTTTTATATGGAGGACAATCCTGTCTTACTGCCATGGAGGAAGGCAGAGGCTGAGGTGCAGCAACCCCATCCCAGCGCAGACCCAGGAGACATGTGTGGTGAGGTCTGCCCAGAGCATTCAACACAGAGATCGAGGGACCAGGACAAAGGCTGAGCCTGCAGCCCTGTGTCACAGGAGAGACTGCAGTGCCCCAGACTGTGGTCCTCTTCAAACAGGCAAAATGCTTTGCTCACCTCTGTATTTTTTCCATGGACTTCCATGGAAAGGCAAAAAATGAGAGGAGTTCGAGGGTTTCCCTAATGGAGCCAACATCACTAGGCAGGTAGCAGCTCAGGGGCTGCCCTGAGCCACCAGCTTTCTCTCCAGCCAGCTGAGCCCAGCGGGTAGGCACAGAGGGATAGAGAGAGCTGGGGGCTGCAGGCAGGGCTGCACGAACACTACCACAACGGGACAAAAGAGGACACCTCACCGAGAAAGACTCGACCTTCACACCGACTGCCTGGTGCTTCTTGCCGAGGTTGCAGAGATACTCTTCCAGGCAGGACAAGTTCTCCAGGTGGCTCACAGCGGCATCGATCACCAGCATCACCTGCAGGAGCACGGAGGCAGAATGGCATTAACAGCAAGGTGCTGCTGCCCTGCCAGAGGAACAAAGAGTCTGACCCTTCTACTTCACCCTTCTCAGCGTGACCGCCTCCCAGCCCAGCAGATGCCCTCTGAGCTTTCCTTTGCTCTACTGTGATCTGCATGACACACCAGTGAGGCGTGCTGGCAGCAGCACACACCACATCTTTCCATGGGATGCTGCCAGAGGTGCCACAGCAAGCAGCACTGCTGACCTCCTTGTCACAGATGTGGTGAGCAACCCTCTAGCAGCAAAGCAGTTACAGGCTAAGATCTAATGCTGATGTGGTCATTACAGCTCTTAGGATCCCAGGACAACTGCAGGGGAGCCCTAGAAGCTGCCAGGACTAGAGTTTCCAACTAGAAGTTGCCAAGATGGTGCAGTTGTGAATAAAGCAACTCCAAGTCTAAGATCAGTCAAGGTATTTTGATGAGATGGGGTGGACAGTACAGCCAAGAGACCTGGTCTAGTAAAGCACAAACCACCATGGTCTCCCAGGAGCACGAAGAGTCAAATGGAAACAGGCCAGAGAAGGGTTAGCAAGGGATGAAGGGAACAGACACACCAAATTAGAAAAGATTAAAGCCAGGACATGGTCAGCTTGGCAAAGCCAGGAGCTGGTAGAATTGCACTCTATAATTTCAACAGGGAAATTATCTCCAACAAGAGCAAAGAGCTATTTCAGCTCAAGGCAATAATAGCAGAAGTAAAAATGGACTTAACTTTGCCAATAAACAGAGGCTGGAAAATAACAAAAAAGCTTGCAGCTATCGCAGAAGCACAGTCCTGAAACAGCCTCTTACAAGGAATAAAGACAGGCAAGTGAGGCACCAAACTGATTTAAAGATGGAACCAGACAGTTTATGAAGGCATCTGCAAGCCAAGACTGAGCTCTGCCCTGATGTGGCCACTCTTCAGGGCTCAGCAAAGGCTCTCTGCTGCACCGGGTGTAATTCTGTCCGTGCCTGAGCTCCTCCAGAGGACATCAGCATTGCTCCTCTCCCTGTTTTGGGGGGAGGTGAATGCTTACCACAGCACTGCCCCAGAGGCTGTCCAAGAGATGCTGTGGCCTCCTGGCTCTGCAGCCACACCAACCACCTCTCCCCACCAGTGGATCCACAGGAGCCTGGCCCACTGCCCAGCTCTGTGCCACCTCCCGATCAGCATGTGGCCAAGCAGGGGGCTTCAGTCCTTGTCTGGAGAGAAGTGAGCTCACTGATGTATTGCCATGGTAGAAGAAGGGGGCTTCCAACTTTCACAAGAGGCAATCCACATCTCAGCTGAGGGCATGGAAACTAGCATGGTGCTTCTCGCCCACCACAACCAGCATCCCCCTCCCCACTGTCATAGGGCACTTTGTCCTGGCAATAGCACTTTTTGCTAGCATGAGTAACCCCCTGCAGTTACCATCTCAGGAGACTTCACCTGCACTCCCTGGTCAGACACTCCACAGTCCCAAGCCATCGCCTAAGGGCTTCCTCCTCCATGCCATAGCCCCTCTCTCACCTTCCTGATGTGATCCAGGAATTCAGGGGCGGAGAGGCACTCCTGGGGGCTGGCAAACTGTTTGCAGTTGTACTGGAACAGGGGCAACAGGTCAGGGTCCAAGTCAAACAACCTGCAACAGCAAGAGAGAAACCCCCATCATCTCACTTCTCAGCTTTATTTAGAGTCCTGCTCACCCCTGGAACAACCCCATCAGCAGCATACCTGCGGCCCCCCCTCTGCCTCCCTTCCCACCTACTGATCCCGCCCTACCTGTAAAGGACCCAAAAGTTCTGAGAAGTCTTAGTTTGGAACAATCCAAGTTACCTATAGTCAAAAAAGTCTCTATTTCCCTAGCCCACATCTCCAGCTCTCAGACAATTGAGGACCAATCCCAGCTCACTGGACTTCCTCCCTGTCTCTTCTCCCCAAATCTTGGCTATTGTCTCAACTCTTCCCATTCCCACTTTATGATCCTCTTGAGGCCCAGAGCTCCCAAACCTAAGGAAGGACTGCAAGCTCCAGCAGCTGGCTTTCCTTTTGGGGTATGGGGAGCGTGTACAAACTCAACTAATACCCCACAGCATCACCAGCTCCCATTTTTCCTCCCTCATCCTCCCTACCAGTGCGTGCCCAGGCACACGTGGGTCTCAGTAGCAGCCACCCAAGCAGATCTAACAGGCTGATGTTGCCCATGGAGGCCACAGAGAACTCATGCAAGTCTCCCTTCTCCCCACCCTGCACATCAAACTACTACATCCCTCCCCACTAAACTCCCAAACATTGCTGTCACTGCCCACAGCCCTGCCCTGCAAGGTTTGGCTCCCACCTGCTAAAGCCTGCTCTGGAAGCTGGTCATCAACCCTCCAACCGTCCTTTTTAAACGACTTTTCACAGATTTTTCTTTTCTCTCTTCCCGTAATCGAGACACTAATCTGCTTAGAAGAGGCAAGGCGCTGGGTTTCAGCCGTTCCCCCTAGCACACTATCTCCTCTCCCCTGAGACCGAATCCCTTCCTAGCGGCCAGGTCTTCCCTGGGGCTGCAGAGCGCCACGTCGGGGACAATCAGGAGGTCCCTTCCATAGGCTGCCCGGGGTCGGGTGGACACGCAGCTCTGCCAACAGCAGAAGTAACGGCGGCAGAGCGGGGCACGGGCGGCAGAAACACACAGACCCTGCCCGCTGCCTCTTCTCCCTCGCCCTCCGTCTCCCCGAAACAAAGTTCTCACTGGCGGGGGCTGGGAAAGGCCGGGAAGCGGTGGGGACGGGAGGGGGGCGGCCTTCCCCACTCCTCTGCCCCACGGTTTGGGGGTGGAGGGGCTTCATCCCCCGGCCCGCCAGCCTGCCGGAACGGGAGCCGGCCGGGAGCCATCGCCAAGCCGAGGGAAGCGCTTCTCTCCGAGATGCGGAGCCCGTCCGTCTCACCTCCCCCGGACGGACGGACGGACGGACGAGGGGCTGGGGCGCCGGTGGCCGCATCCCGTCCCCGTCGCCCCGCTCACCTGGTGAAGAGGACGAGGCCGTGCTGCTCGGGGCTGCCGCTCAGCCGCTGCCAGCTCTCCCGGATCAGCGCCCGCTGCCCGCCAGACAGCAGCATCCCGCTCTCCATGGCGGGGGCGGTGCGGGGTGAGGCGGGGGGGGACACGGACCGGCCCCTCGCCGCCCCAGGAGAGGCGCTGGCACCGGCA